CCGCCGTGTTTCTGCTCGCACCAGAACGTGACGCTCAGCTCGCTGGCGTCGCAACCTCCTACGTTGTCCGCTGCTTTCCGGGCTCCGAAGGTTCCCCCGAGTCCAGAGATCTTGAGATTTTCCCCTTTGTCATGAGCCTCCAACCACCTAGCTTCCCTCGGGACCAAGGAACCAGGAGCCTTGCCTCCACGTGCACGAGGGGCCAGAGCCGTAAGAAACTTGCGGCTGTCTGAGAGTCCTGGGCGAGTGGCCTGACATCCCATTCTCTCGGCGGCCTCGAGTCCGGATATCCATTTTCTATCCCCACGGTCCCAGAGCCCAACGACTTCCCTCGAGTCCTTTCTGAAACCTCCTCCTCATCCTCCTCTGTGTCGGTTGAAAATGCACCTCGAGGTCCCGGACGAACAGATCCCTTGGGACCGCCCTGGAAGGGTTAGCGTCGGGCTGGCCCTCAGAGTGGGGCATCTCCGAGCATACGTCGATCAGGCGCTTGAAGGTGTTCCGGGAGCCTCCGCGCGCTGGCGGTCCAGCGTCTTCATCATAAGCACCAGACCAACCATGTCGGCGTCCGTCATCATTGGGCGGTTCGCGAGCTGAGAAGTCAGGTCGCCCTGCTGGTTGACGATCTGCCTCAGCTCCTCGAGACCCTGGTCGCTGGAGGGACTCGGCTGGTGGACGATCTCCTTCATCTCCTCCATCTGCTGCGCAATCAGGACCGACAACCGCTGGAAGGAGCGCTCCGTGCGCTCGGTGCCTTTCTCCGCTGGTTCTCCGTCACGATCGTCATGTCGTGCAGGGCCTGCTGCTTCTCGGCCGCCGTCATGGCCCTCATGTGCGGTGCGGATTCTGACGCTTTGGCAGCGAGGCCCCCACAGGAGTCGGCTTCCACGGGATGTGTCCCTCTGCCACTGGCACGTGCGTGGGGTAGGGTCCGGCGGACAGGTCCTGGGACGTGGCCTGCTGGTGCTCCGGGATCCCGCGTCGAGCCCGAGGGCCCTTCGGCACAGGCGCCGGCGTCCAGGGATCGGGTCTCTCGCGGTCGTAGGCCTTGACTATCTCGTCCCTCTCCTGGCGGACCCTGCTGTTCGCCGCCGTGGTGCTCGCCGTCTTGTTCGGAGGTGGACAGACCTCCTACACTGACACGTCGATTGAGGAATTGGCCGTTTTCGGTTCGCGAGAGGGCGTCGCGGCCGTCATTTTTGCGGGTCCAGGTCCGTCGGTTTCGGTCCCAGGCCGTTTTCACTAAAGGGAGGTTTATTAAAGGGAGGTTTGTCCAACGCCGACTTGTGCTCCTTGAGGTGCTGGCGCTGGGCGGCCTCGTCCTTCTCCTCCTGCGTCTTCGGACGCTAGGCCAGGCGGCTCCTGCGCTGCGCGCAGTCCGTCCAGTATCCGTGCTGGTTGCCGGCCGTTGTGCGAGCCCAGGGCGGATGCAGACACTCCGCCGGGGCCAGGCGCTCCTGCGCGTCCGGGCAGCGATCCATCGCATCGATCATGCCCACGCACGTCAGCCACGCGCAAAGGGGGGTGGGGGGAGGGGGCAGGGCTTCTTAGAAGCACCCCTGCTTCTTAGAAGGCGGTGGCCTTCTCTAAAGACGTAAGGCCGGCGCCTTCTAAGAAGCAGCCTGCTTCTAAGAAGCCCTCCCCCCTCTCCCCACCCCCTTGTGCGCGCCGCCAAGCACGTGTGGTTGAACCACATCGCCTTGAGCACGAGATGCCGCCAGCGCTGGTCGGTCACATCGAGCTGGAGCTGGCCGGCGTAGAACCGCAGCTTCTCGTCGGGCATCGTCGCGTTCTCGAGGACCTGCATCAGGCGCTCCATCTCGACGGGATCCTCCGGCAGCTGCTTCCAGGACTCGGCGAACGACTCCTCCATGATCTCGTCCTCCGGGCCCTCGATCGCTGCGATCTGAGCTCGGCGCCCGAGCGAGCCCGGGCTGAGTGGAACCCTCGGTCCCTTGGAACGGCTCCTCGACGGAGGTGGCTGCTTCCTCTGGATGGGCAAGGGCATCTTTTTCCCGGCGGTCTCCGGCGTCGGGAAGGGGCGCGAGTGGGTAGCTGCAGGCTCGAGCCGAGAGAGGCCTCGCTCCAGAGTAGGTCTGCTGTCTCCCCCCCCTGGGCCCCTGGGTCGAGACAAGGGGGAGGGAAAGCTGAGCGAATGGAGGCCTGCCAGGTGGACTCGGCCCTACGGCTACCATGGTTCCCCAGGCGATGTCCCGCCGAGGCGGGAGGCGGGGCGGTCCTCAGTCGCCGTGAATGTGGAGAGCGGGAGCCTGTCGGCTATCTCGGGGCCGAGGTGGAAGTCCTGCGGGTCGCGGTGCACCAGGTTGACCGATCTGTGACCCGCGGGGGGTGGACGGTCAACTTCCGCTCAACCCTCTCTCCATCACTATCGACCACCATCACGTTGTTGCGCAGGTCGATGGTCGCCCCAAGCATGTCGAGCAGCCTCGCTGGGAGAAGGGCCGGACAGGCCTGCGGTAGCACCAGGAACTCCACGATGCCGCAGCCCGCGATGGTCACGGACACCCATGCTCGGCCGATCAGACACGTGCGGCCGCCAATGCCCGACGCCGTGATCCCCTTCGGGGGCGTCCAGTCAACCTTCACCTTGTACCCGACGTCTTTCATGGCCTGCATGAGGTATTGCAAGTCGGGGTTCCCGATCAGAGCCTGGGCCGCCGCGATGTCCACCAGAGCATGCGCTCCGTCGTCCTTCAGGCTCAGGAAGACGGGGAGCTCGATCACCGGCAGGTCTGCTCAATCCCGCCGCCTTGCCACCGCGGCCTGTCTCAGCTGCCAGCCGATCGTCTTTGCAGCAGAACGGCTTGCTGCACGTGTCCGCCCAATGTCCTTTCTCACCGCAGTTGGCGCAGCGAGACCTCTTCTTCGGATCAGAGCCCATCAATATCTTGAATCCTGGTTTCGCCCGTTGGCGATCGAAGAAATCGTGGTCCACCTTCGCCATCTTCAATTTCCGGGACTCCTCCCAGGTGCGACGTCGCTCTCGTCCGAAACACTCCTCGACCATTGCTGCCAGAACGTCCAGCACTTCATGTTCGTCCAGGTCCTGGGTCTCCAGGACCTCCAGGAAGGCCTCAGCCTCCTCCTCCTCCGGGAGCTCGGCCTCGTCTCCCAGATCTTCGTCGTAATATGTTTCCAGTTCGTCGCCATCCTCCTGATGATACGTCCCAGCCTGTGGTGGAGGGGCGGACGGCAGCACCTTCTTCTCCGTGACGTCCATGCTCAGGAGGGCGAGTCGGATGCTGGCGAAATCGGAGTTGCCCATCGCGAGCGTCTTCATGTTCAGCCGATTCTGCACGGGCAGCCCCGCGCCCTCCTCCAGGAAGCGTGCCCGGACCTGATCTGGAAGTGTCAGCCCGTGCATCTCGGCCTCGGCTACCTGGGCATCCCGGCGGAGGACGTAGTCCGTCAACATTTATCCGCGCCTTCTCATGTAATCGAACAACGCCTGGTTCTGGCATTCTCTGGCGATCACCCGGTCGTTTTCCGTTCAATATTGCCAGATGATCAAGAACCTTGTCTATGCCGTTCTCGTCATCCAACGTGCTGCGGATGACGCGAAACTTATGCTGTACCTCAGTAGATAAGGATTCGGCCACCTTAGATGCCTGCTGCTCTGGTCTGTATCCCGTGCGATTTCCCTATGACGTCAGATTCTGTTTGAAAATCTCGAAACGGGGGAGGGCCGAAATCTCGACTTCGCTGATTCCAGTCAGAGCTGCCTGACCAACAGTCGTTGCCAGCATAACCACCCCATCCCCAGTGACGCCACCAACCATCATTCGTGGGGCCAGCCGTGCCAGTCGCTGTGTCATCTGAAGCACCGGTCTGGCCGTGCTGGCTCCTGATCCATGGGTCCCGTCCCTTGTGACATGAATCTTCTGGAGGTGATGGTGCCATCGTCTGCTGTACTGGCGCTGCTCGGTCCTTCTTCCCCCGTTCTTCACCGGGCTCTCCCTCAGCATCTCCTTCTTCTCCAGCCATCGCTCCGCCACCAAGTGTAATAATAGGCTGGAGGGTAGGTGAAGGAAAGGGACACTCTAGTCGGCACCAGGCAGGTGGGATGTCCTCCGCGCAGCGCCCGTCATGGGACGGGGCACCTAAGCCAAAGAAGCGAAGCACGGAGGGGACTGGGAGAGGACACCGGGACGGGGGCCTCGAAGGGGGTGGGGGACACCGGCGATCCGATGCGACCCGACGTTTGCGTGGCGTTGTTGTGCATCCTGGCGCAGCCGTGCCGACTCGATTTCGACTCCGTGCTGACGCAGCCCGAGCCGACGCACACGATCCGACTTCCTGGCTGCTCCTGCCCTTTTACCTTCTCCCTAATCGAGCCCCCTCCTCCACCCCCTCCCCCTTTGCTGCGGGCTGCTCCTGCCCTTCCATCTTCTCCCTGATCAAGCCCCCTCCTCCTCCTCCTCCTCCTCCTCCTCCTCCTCCTCCTCCTCCTCCTCCTCCTCCCCCTTTGCTGCTGGCTGCTCCTGCCCTTCCATCTTCTCCCTGTTCAAGCCCCCTCCTCCTCTTCCCCTCCTCCTAGACCCTGGTCTTGCCGCACCACCGCGCTAGCCCCACTTCTGCGGGCATCGGCCTGAGCAGGCCTGCAGATCACCCGAGAGGGATGGCGTAGAGTGGTACCTTTTCCCCAGCCCAGGGCTCGCTTTCCCGAAGCTGCAGAGGACCTGGCTTGAATGGGAAGCGAGAGAAAGAGGGAGAGGTCTCCCAGGCTGAAGTCGGGCCTGTCCCCCTACAGAGGGATTTTCGACGAAAAATTAAAAATACTCCAAAAATCGTCCAACAATAGTCCAAAAATAGTCTGGGGACTATTTTTTGAGTATTTTTTAACTTTTTGGGTGTATTTTTGGTGTATTTTTTCCGTCGAAAATCCCCCTGTAGGGGGACACGCCCGACTTACTCCCAGGCCTTTCTGGCGGCCCGGCCGGTCGCCCTGAGTGCCGCGGGGGCGGGGTGAGCGGCGGGAGGAGCCCGTCCTGAGCAGCGTCCTCGTCAGGGGCGGCAACGTGAAGTCCTTCAGCGACCTGCGTTGCCCCGCCCGCGGGGAGGGGGATTTTTGGATGGCGCTCCGATTCGCCGAGGAGACGGTCAGCTTGGTGCGGCACTCACTAGCTGCTGGCAGAAACGCGCGGTATCTAGCAGCACGGGGCGCCAGGGTTGGGTGAATCTCCCCGCCCCCTAGCAGCGCGGGGAGGAGGGGGCGGGGAGGGGCAGGCCGAGGAAGCGGGGGGGAGGGGGGAAACAGGAGCGACGGAGCGAGGAGGGAGCGAGGAGGGGGATGAGGAGGAGGGGGATGATGATGATGATGAGGATGGGGATGAGGATTAGGAGAATGAGGATGAGGATGATGATATTGATGATGATGATGATGATGATGATGATGATGATGATGATGATGATGACCATCATCATCATCATGAGTACGATGGTGACGATGGTGATGGTGAAGCTGCTGATGAGGATTGTGATTGTTGTGGTGATGATGAGGATGATGGTGACGATGATGATGGTGATGCTGCAGATGCTGATGGCGATTCTTGTGGTGATGATGAAGGTGATGACGATGATGACGATGAGGCGGAGGGGGGTGAGAAGAAATATGATGATTTTATGATGATGGTGGTGGTGGTGGTGATGATGATGATGATGATGGCGGTGGTGGTGGTGGCGATGATGATGCTGCGGAAGCTGATGATGGTGATGCGGTTGATGATGGTGATGCTGGCGCTGATTATGGTTATTCTTCTGATGAGGATGGTGAGGATGATGATGACGAGTAGGAAGAGGAGGATATCCATGATGATGATGCTCATGCTGATGTTGATGATGATGATGGCGATGGTGGGGGTGGTGATGATGATGGAAGTGGTGGCGGTGGTGATGATGATGAAAATGATGATGGTGATGATGATGGTTGTGGTGGTGATCGTTTTGATGGGGACGATGCTGCTGATGATGACGATAGTGATGACGGTAACGTTGATGATTATGGTGATGATTATGCTTGTGGTGATGATGATGCTGATGCTGATGATGATGATGCTTGTGATGGTGATGGTGATTGTGATGCTGCCGATTCTGACGATGATCTTTGTTGTGATGCGGATGGTGATGATGTTGTTGATGATGATAATGATAACGATGGTGATGCTGAGGATGATGAGATTTTCCAATTCTTTACGCTGCGCGTATCCCCACCAGCCCTTCTCACAACAGCCTTTCTTGCGAAGCATGCCGACAGTCGTGTTTTTCAGGCGGGTGTCCGCTTGCCCCCGCATATCTCCCCTGTTCCTCCTTCCTCCCGCCTCCTTGTACATCCTCCTTGTGGTGGGAGCGGGAGAAGGACGAGGCGGAGGAGGAGGGAGAGAAAGCGCTCCTCGTGGTTTGAGTCGTTTGGGGTTTCTCGTCCTGGTGTGTCGTTCGGGCCCTTCTTCCTGGGTGTGTCGTTCGGGGGCTCGTGTGTGAGTCGTTCGGGCTCGTCGTGGTGGTGAGTCGTTCGGGCTTCTCGTGGTGTGAGTTGTTCGGGCCCCTCGTCCTGGTGTGAGTCGTTCGGGCCCCTCCTCCTGGTGTGACTCGTTCGGGCTCCTCGTGGTGTGAGTCGTTCGGGGCCCTCGTCGTGGTGTGAGTCGTTCGGGCTCCTCGTGGTGTGAGTCGTTCGGGCGCCTCGTCCTGGTGTGAGTCGTTCGGGCCCCTCCTTGTGGTGTGAGTCGTTCGGGCTCTTCGTGGTGTGAGTCGTTCGGGCCCCTCGTCCTGGTGTGAGTCGTTCGGGCTCGTGGGGCCTCTTGGGGGCCTCTGGGGCCTCTTGGGGGCTCTTGGGGGCCTCTTGGGGGCCTCTTGGGGGCCTCTTGGGGCCTCTTGGGGCCTCTTGGGGGCCTCTTGGGGGCCTCTTGGGGGCCTCTTGGGGCCTCCTTGGGGGCCTCTGGGGGGCCTCTTGGAGGCCTCTTGGGAGCCTCCTGGGAGCCTCTTGGGGCCATCTTGGGGCCTCTTGCGACCTCCTCAGAAGCGCAAATGAGAGCTGCGCCCTGAGAAGGACAAAATGAGCCCAAAACCTTCGTAAAATCAATGATTTTGCTATGAAGGAAGATGAGCGCGGCCCCCTGGGGCCAAAACCGTAGTAAAATCAATGATTTTGGCTTCAACGAAGAGCAGAGGGGCCTATCTCCGTCCCCCCGTCGGGGCCAGAATTCTCGTGAGGGTCGTCGTTTTTTGGCCCTCCGAGGAGTCGAAATGGACCCCCCCAACGACCCGCCGGACCCCCTCTCCAGGTCCAGGGGGAGGGGGTAGGGGGAGGGGTAAACCCCTCCCCGAAGGGGAAGAAGGGGGGTTGAGGACAGAGCGGGCTCTCTAAACCACTCACGCCCAAAGGGCTGGTGGGATTTCAGTTTCCAATCTCTTCCCAAAGCACCTAAAAGTCCTGACGTTGGGCTGTAGTGGGCGCTTCGTCCCCAACCCGCGGCACCTACAGGCTGCGCAATGCGGGCCGCTGTCGCAGTCGCAGTCGCTGAGGATGATGATGAGGATGATGATGATGAGGATGACGATGCTGCTGATGATAATGAGGGATTGATGATGGTGGTGATGATAATGATGCGGATGAGGATGAGGATGGTGGTGATGATGCTGATGATGCTGCTGATGATGATGGTGATGAGGTTGATTGTGGTGGTGGTGCTGAAGATGATGATGGTGGTGCTGCTGATTCTGATGCGGATGATACTGATGATGCTGATGATGATGATGCTGATGGTGATGCTGATGATATTTGTGGTGATGATGATGTTTAAGGTGATGCGGGTGATGATGCAGATGGTGATTATGGTGATGATAATGATGACGATGGTGACGATGACGATTCTGATGCTGCTGTTGGTGGTGATGCTAATGATGATGGTGATGCTGATGACATGGCAGCGGTGGTGATTGCGATGCTGGTGATGATGCTTATGCTGGTGATGCGGGTGATACTGATGATGATGGTGATGCTGATGCTGATGATGATGGCGATGGTGTTGATGCTGTGGATGATCATGCGGTTAATGATGAGCGTGGTGGGGGTGATGATGGTGATAGCAATGGTAATGCTGTTGATGATGATGCTGGTGGTGATGCCGATGATTGTGATGACGATGATGGTGATGATGATGGTAATGCTGATGATGCTGATGGGTATGGCAGTGGTGATTATGTTGGTGATGACGTTGACGATGACGTTGATGACGATGATGGCGGTGATGGGGATGCTGGTGATGGTGATGATTATGATGGTGGTGTTGACGACGCTGATGATGATTCTGCTGATGATGATGTTGATGATGAGAATGTGGATGCTGCTGCTGACTATGTTGGTGCTGGTGATTATGGCGATGATGATGCTGGTGACGATGGTGGTGATGCTGATGTTGATGCTGATTGTACTGAGGCTGATGCTGATGCTGATGATGATGCGGATACCGCTGCTGACTATGATGGCGATGATGATGCTGATGACGAGGACGAAGGTGATGATGCTGATTTTGATGATGCTGATACTGGTGATGATGATGCTGATGATAGTGATGCTGCTGATGATTGATGGTCTTGATGATGATGCTGATGCTGATGACGTGATTGTGGTAGTGGTTGTGATTGTGGCGGGTGTGGTGTTGATGAAGATGAGGACTATGATGATGGTGTTGATGATGCTGATGTTGAGGATGCGGATGACGATGATGTTGGTGACGTTTATGATTTCCACGGGATTTCTGATGTTGATGATGCTGATGCTGATGATGATGCCGGGGTTGCTTATGATGATGATGGTGATGATGATGCTGATGATGGTGATGGCGATGCTGGTGATGCTGCTGATGATCATGCTCATGATGATGATGCTGATGATAATGGTGATGATGATGATGCTGATGATGATGATGATGATAGTGATATCGAAGATGACGATGCTGATGATGATGAATATGATGTTGATGATGCTGATGATGCTGCTGATGCTGATGCTGATGCTGCTTCTGCTGATGATGCTGATGATGATGATGATGCTGATTATGTTTTTGATGCTGATGATGCCGATGATGATGATGATGATGATGATGATGATGATGTTGATGATGCTCATGCTGATGATGCTGTTGCTAATGGTGATGATGATGATGGTGCTATCGATGGTGGGCATGCCAGTGGTGATGATGTTGATGATGACGCTGATGATGATGATGGCGATGATGGGGATGCTGGTGATGGTGATGATGATGATGGTGGTGTTGATGACGCTGATGATTCTGCTTATGATGATGCTGATGATGATGATGATGAGAATGTGGATGCTGCTGCTGACTATGTTGATGCTGGTGATTATGGCGATGATGCTGGTGATGATGGTGGTGATGCTGATGTTGATGCTGATTGTACTGAGGCTGATGCTGATGCTGATGATGATGCGGATGCCGCTGCTGACTATGTTGGCGATGATGATGTTGATGAGGAGGACGAAGGTGATGGTGCTGATTTTGATGATGCTGATACTGGTGATGATGATGCTGATGATAGTGATGATGCTGATGATTGATGGTCATGATGATGATGCTGATGCTGATGACGTGATTGTGGTAGTGGTTGTGATTGTGGCGGGTGGTGGTGATGATGACTATGGTGATGATGATGTTGATGATGTTGGTGTTGATGATGCGGATGACGATGATGTTGGTGACGTTTCTGATTCCCATGGGATTTCTGATTTTGATGATGATGCTGATGATGATGCCGGGGTTGCTTATGATGATGATGATGGTGATGATGATGATGCTGATGATGGTGATGGCGATGCTGGTGATGATGCTGATGATCATGCTCATGATGATGATGCTGATGATAATGGTGATGATGATGATGATGATGATGATGATGATGATGATGATGATAGTGATATCGAAGATGACGATGCTGATGATGATGAATATGATGTTGATGATGCTGATGATGCTGCTGATGCTGATGCTGATGCTGATGCTGCTTCTGCTGTTGATGCTGAAGCT